CATCATTCTTTACAGCTGCGCTCTCACTGCACTTTCCTTGTCAAGTTTCACAGCGTTGCAGAGTTTAGTGAACTCTGACCTGTGAACTCGCATCACTAGACTGTGTGAGACTAATGGAGGATCAGAACATGAGCTGTCTGGACAGAAGTGTAAAGTATGGAGCAGGCGCTCGCTTTATTAATGTCTGATCATCGTCATCAGCATCAGAGAGCTCACTGCACTGAAACACTCATAACTCCATCTTCAACACGGCGGAGTGACCTGCTGAACACACTCCTCACGCTGTATTTACTCACACACCACACCACCGTGCGCTCATCTGCACCATCTGAGCACTTTCATTCAGCCGAGCTTCTCTGTAGAGTAAAACAGTGGAGTCAGAGCTGAGCTGGAGATGCAGACCTCTGAACACTCCCGCTCTCCCCATCACTCTCCTCTACTGTCATCTGATCATGAGAGCTGCAGCCATGCAGATCTGACCTCTGCTGGAAAACAGCGTTCACTCACTGTGTGTGTGTGTGTGTGTGTGTGTGTACAGTGTACAGCACACTGTGTATAAATTCTGAGAGTTCATCTTTAAAATCCAAACATTATTGATGACTTTAAGCCTGGTTTATAGGTTTATACTTCTGCGTCAGGTGACCAGCGTAACCTACGGCGCATGCAACACGTGCAGCTGTGCATTTACACTTCTGCTGCTGTCTCTGTTGGTCTGCATTAACACTTCTGAAGCGCTAGTGGGCAGTGAGGTGTAAATGTTTCTCTGTGTCGAGTTTCTTCTCTGCTGTTTTGCTTTTCCTGAACACTTCCGGGATGTACAAGTGGCTTAAATTTTGAGGCAGGAACCGGCGGACGTGCAACAACTTCTCATTTATGGGACTCAATCGCTCCATCAGGCTCGCGCCATTCGCGCGGCTCTCTGTCCCGCCCAGACTCGTCAGCGCTACCAAGCCAACCAATCACAGAGCTTGCGCGACGTATAGTTACATTTTTTGAGAGGTGCACGTCAGTGATGCTGACGGCCATGGCTAAGGGCTATGCGTCAGCGCTGTAGCATACGCCGACGTTTGACGCAGAAGTATAAATCAGCCTTTAATGCTCCTCTGTGTCGAGTTTCTTCGCTGATGTTTTGCTTTTCCTGAACACTTCCTGTATGTACAAGTGGCTCTCAAACTCGCTCATTTTGAGGCAGGAACCGGCGGACGTGCAACAACTTTAACTATGAGGTAAACACAAAACAAAACTTTCCATCCGGAGCTCCTTCACGGAACTCCACACTTGTAAACAATCGCTCCATCAGGTTCGCACCATTCGCGCGGCTCTCGGTCCCGCCCAGACTCGTCAGCGCTACCAAGCCGACCAATCACAGGGCTTGCGCTACG